TGATCAACAAAGCATTTTTTTCTATCAGTAAGGGCCTGTCTTCCTTTTATTCTTTTTGCCTTTGAAGCCCATAATACATTTTTGAAGGCAAACTTTAGACCAAACAGTGAGTCTAGTCATAAAATACGGTGAGTGTATGCCAATAGCAATTAAAAGAAAAGCAAATTCTGCATTAATTGTATGGAGCCAGCCCCAAAGACCAGCACTTCAAGCACTGTCATCATCTAAACAGTTAACAAGCTAAAGCTCCCGATCTGCCCCTTTGAACAAACAGGAAGGAACTGAAAAGATTTTAAGAGAGATTTTTTTTTCCCCTTCCCATTTGGTGGAAAGTATTTCTGCCCACAGAATGCAAGATTCACAAAAATGTTGGACAAACTTCATCTAACCCCATCCAAAGCTGCTCCTCACACAGCACTTAACTCGCAGAGCTGCTTCCCGAACAGGCCAGCGCTTATTTGGGCTGGTAACTTGGTTCCCTTCTCCTGTCTGCAGATGTGCCAAAGGAAACAAGGGGATCAGCAATGCAAGTTCCCTTCCAATACCAAAAGGGAGCAACTCCTTAAGGGTTTGTATTAATTCCCTAACTCTCTCCTGGCATGCACATTTAAGGAGAGTGCAGCCGATTATTCCAAAGGGAAGGGTCTGCTCTGGCATCTCCTCTTATTTCGTGGTTCCAGGTGGAGGTCCTGCTCCATGGTCTGTCTCCTGCTTCACTGAACTACAACCAGAGGGATGCTTCAGGGTGCTGATCCTTCCTCTTCATTAAAGCTATTTGCTCTGAATGCTGAACTTGGGCAAGCCTGACCCCCTCCCCTCACAGCACCTTTGTTCAGGAATGTTATTTCGATTTTGCTGTTCCAAAAGCAGAGGTTGCAAATCAATACAAGGAAACTATACACAAGAAAATTTGATTTTAAAGATGATCTAAACAAAGCAACCCCCAACCCATCATAGTGCTTTGTAAAACTGCATTTTGAACCTGTCTCTTACCCCTCCTGATCCACAAGCAGTACCTGTTTCATGTCTGCACAATGCAGCAAGCATACAAGACTCACTAACATTTCAGATTTTTATTCCCTGTTAGTGTAACAAAAATAAAAAATAAACAGACATTCAAAAACAGAATCAAGATTGTTCAAGTACCAAATTAGGGGCTTTTCCAAACTCAAAGCGTGACACTCCTATAGCAATTCTGCTGTTTTAAACAGCCACAGCATTCAGTTGCACACATGGTGCTACCTGAGCCTGCAGAAAGCCCAGGATTTGGGGCAACCAAGACCCTCCTCCACCTCCTGCCCTCCCCAAAACAGCACTAAGTGTCAACATTCATTTCCACAGTCCCTATTACAGTTGCCTGGCTTTGCAAAGGAAAAACTTTCATTTTTGCCCTGCTGTGACTAGAATTCAGGTATGATTAAATATAAGCTCTTTTCCTGGGAATGGCTTTTGGTTGTGGAAGTCTTGCTAACACTAGCATCAGCAAGAAAAGAATCAGGCCCATCGCATTAAATGGAAAACTTCTTGACCATCTGCCACGTCAAGAGCTGAGTGTGGAAAGAGCATTTTATTTTTGGCATAAGACAGAGGGCTGTACTGGATATAACTCTAGATTGCAACTATCAATGGTGCGAAGCAGTGACCCAATCCACTGCTGATGAGAATTAAATAAAAACCAAAATACAACCCCCAAAACTAGAGCACTCCAGTACCAGAAGGTGGACAATCACAGGTCACTGCTTCACACACTAGTGAAGCATCTGTTGGGACATCACTCTGTTTCTAGGTTGGTTCTTCCCATGCTAAGATTACCTGTAATCAATAAAGAAACTAGTGGGAAAAAAATTTATAACTTCCTAACTTCAAAAACATGGCACTCGTGGCTGACACAATGGGGCCAATGGCAACTGTGGAAGCAGATCTGATTTCCATCCATACCAATACAAAATACTGAATCACCCCTGATCCCTGCAAATATACTTCAAAACAGATTAGAAGAAACTGTGCATATTCGAGTTTCAGCGTTCCCCCTCCCCCCTCCCCATTTAACACTGTGCAAAAGTTATTTAGTTAATTCTACATATATATTCAATACAACACAGGTCGATGAGATTGATGCTGCTCTCACTGCAGTCTGGTACCAGACATCTGCTACAGCAGTGAGCCTATCTCCCCCTTTCTTCCTGATGTTTTGACTCTTAACATTAAAACCTTCTCACGTCTTACTGTTTTAAAAGAACTTGAGTCCCTTTGTTTTGCCTTTGTGTTCACATTTCCTGTATTTGTTTTAGGCTTAACAGCTGCTTTTCGTCCTGGGGTGTAATCCTGCACCTCACAGATCCGTTCCTGATTTCTCAGTCATGCAAGTGTAGAACAGCTCCTGAAAGTTGTGGTTTTTCTCACAGGTCTAATGCTACTGAGCAAACAGGATCAGGCCAAGCACAACGAGAGGTGCAGGATCAAGCCCTTGCCCCATGGATCACACCAGCTACACGTGTCAGTTGGTTTTCTACCCATTTTAATTTGCTCTATGAGTGCAAAATGGATGCAAAAAGTATCTGTGCAATAGCATGTGAGAGTCAAAGGGGAACAGTTATAGCAGCTGGGACTTCAGGGGCCTAAAGCAAACACAGAGAGAGAAAGTGGCAAAACAGTTGCAGGGACACTGCTCAGGATAATGGACCCAAATGCAAGGAAGATGGCTTAGTCTGCCCATACCCCTGATCTGAAGGCTTGAGCAAAACAGAACTTCGAAGAACACTTCAAGATGGCTTATTGGCTCCAAGTCCACCATTCGCAGCAAATACATCACCTGTGATCAGTGAAAAGATCTCAGAGAGCAAAGGGCCAATAATCCCAACTCACTCACACCATGACAAAGCCAAGCTACCTTCACAGATGTTAATGGAATTACACTGTATTTACCTTGGCAGAGCCAGGGCTGGAGCCTGGACCAAGACCTCACAGGATCAGTTAGATTCCACTACAGGGAAACCTCAGACAGCCTCACTCTGCTATCCTGCTGCCGTCAGTACTGTGAGGGTGTGCCAGGATTTATGAGCCTGAAAGTAGATCTGTGCTTGTTTAAACAAAAACTGAGCTCTACCTGAAAATGGGGCAGATGTGAAACACTTCAGCCAGGTTATCTCTGTCACAACAACAGGATCAGAAATATGGGCCCCATCAGCCTTGAATGTTAACACTGCCAGTAAGGGGAGAGTCCAGAGAGATCACGAGGGCAGAGGAAACAATTAGACACTCCTCTCACACAGATTTTTCCACAGGCACGAGGCACCTGGCTATCATTTGTATCTCTGAACTGATTTCCCTCATTGGGCACTTGGGCTCAGCCCAGCTTCAAGGGAATGCTAGATGCACAAGCAGTGTGAGAATGACAGCTTTACAGCTACCAGATTAGAACTGCAAATTATCCAAGATGTAGGGCACATACCACTGAGGAATCCATTAGAGATTTCCACTAACAGCAAAGGCCATGTCTCATTTTCCCTTGTCCAGGGGAAGTAGAAGGGACACAAGGAGATTGGTTCACTTTGACATAGTAGTTTATACGAATTTTATTCTTCTCCCACAGAGTTTGGCTAAGTTTTGTAGTGTTTCGTTGAAAGAGAAAAGTGGCATCTACAGAATCCTTTGCCTGAATATTGCACTGTGGCTGATTAGAAAGTGCCTGGGATGTGTCAGGGTCATTAGTGCAAAACAGAACATCTCACAGGCATGCCAGGCAACCAGACTATCCTTCCTGCAATGGCTGTCAGTGCTCCAGCCTTGTCACTTCCCTACTTGTAAATTCATGACATTCAGTGAAATAATACTTCTAGTGTAAACATTACACATCAACAAGCCTGGCATTACTGCCCAGGCGTTACAGAAAAAAGCCATTTGAACAGGAAATCAGCCCCAGGGTCAGAAACGGGTCTCCAGCATTCTCAGACCTGCATGACTGTCTGCTTCCTGTCCTGCACAATGGGTGCATTGCAAGGGAAATGCTTCCAGTAATGGGAACAAAAGTAACTTTCAAGGTTGCACACTGAACAATTACTTTGCCAGTTCTGCTTTGATGCCAAGTGGTTTGGTTTGCCAAACTTAGCTCTTTTTCATTTTAGAAGCTTAAGGAATGGAAATAAGCTGCTTTGTACACTTTCCAGGGAGGGGATTTATTTGATGATTGCTGTACTTGATGAAGCCCAGGACTACCCACTCCAGTATTTGACAGCAGCCCTTGCCAAAGGATGGTACCAGACATCCAGCAACTGAGGAGCGCAGATCTCTTCCCTTCCTGTGTTTCGCATCATGTCCAAAATAACTACAGGGGAATTTAGATTATACCAGTGTAAAAATCTTGCTTGGCTGCAGTGGTGTGAGAGTTCAGAATGCAGCTTGCACAGAACAAGCTGGAGCAGATCTATGAGTAGCGTGCTCACTTCTCACAACTGGAAGTGACTATACCTCACTGAAGAATTTGGTGCAATAAGCCATCCAGAAGCATTCGATTACACCGACCTCTTCTGTACCAAAATCAAGTGTTACATGAGTCTGTCATTGTTCAGCAAGAGACCTGCAGCAGGCAAGTGCAAGCTTCGTTCTGGTTTACATTCTGAAGCACAGTATCATTAAAAACTGAGAACAGAATCCCAAGCTGAGGAATGGGAGGAAGGGGTGAAGAAAGAGGAGAGTGAGCAATTACATCAGATCAGACAAATTTAGTGTTTTGAAGCCACTCAATGTTTAGCTTTTCCTTTTATTTGTTTCAAGTTTTGGTGCAGAAAGTATGTGCGGATGCTAATGCAACCTCCCCCATAAGTGCTCGATCTAGCAACGAACAAAGTTTTGGCGTGTTCAATTTGGTTACGTTTCCTTTAAGCGAAGACCTGTAGTGCCATTGAAACCAAAACTTTGTTACTGTTGGCAAAAAAATAAAGCAACTTTTCTTTTACAAGCATTTTTCCATTTAAATAAAAACCTGAAGCTTTCCCATGATTCCTTTGGTCTTCTCTCACCAAATTCCATGCTACCTCAAGACAAGCCCTCTTTTGGAAGTCCGGCTGAATCGCAGTGAAGCTGCTAAAATTAACAGAGAAGAATTGCTGTGGTAGAGTTTCCCCCTAGTTTGTTGGGAGTTTAAGACTGAAAGACATTACTGATGCCTCAAGCAGAGGCTTCAAATTGTCTCTACTAGAACAAGAGAAAACAAAATCCAACTAGAAGTTCCACTGAAGGTGCCTGGCAAAAAATTATCTCCGTAAAATGATGCTTTGCTTCCAGTATTTTCATATGCGCTGCGTTGAGTTTATTCCCCTCATAAGGAAACAAAAGTATTGGTGTAAAAGCACAGCTGAGCTTTTAAGGTAGCACCAGGACACCTACACCCAAGTTGTCGTCTTGTTGCTGCTAGGCCTCTTTTTGATTCACATTCACAGAATCACTTCTTGTGCAAAACAAGCAGTCTAAGGAGAAAGAATGCCCTCCAAGTTCTAGTAAAAATCGTAGAAAAGAATCCAAGATAGCCAACGCTTTCCTCCTCCCCAAAATTTACCTGCAGAGAGAGGGGGGCATCTGTGCGTAGACAGGATAGGCAAGCCTGACATTTAGGGAATCATTGTGTTGGACAAGGGATGTCTGCTGGTAATGAAGAACCAAATCCTTAAGTGTGCTATACAGGTTGTACGGTTCTGCAAACCCGTAACCTCTTGGAGTGCTGTAGATCACACAGTGTTTCACCTCTCCATCAGCTCTGCAAGGAAAAGAAAGAGGAGAGTTTAACATCTAAGGACAAACCCAAAGTGACAGTCTATTAACAATTAACTAATGCAGCAACCCCGACAGTCACTAAATTACATAATGGAGGACCCAGTAGATGCAAGTAGAGAAGATTAATATAGTCTGTGAAGAAACAGTGCTTCAGGGCATGCGATTAAACACTCTTGCATAATAATCCACATAAGAGGCCTCTTCCATCCCAGCAGTACAATTCCCAACTGCATTGTTCTCCAAACGTTTCTTGGAAAAAAAATTCAAAAGCTTAACCACGAAGATAAGCACCCCAAGTCAGCAATGACTTTGTGCTTAACTTACCTTGAAACCTTTCCACTAAGCAAAGAAGTCAAACTCTACAAATTCTCAGGACCCACAAAGTATTCCATGAAACACAGCACTAACCTTCTGTGTGCATTTTTTAATGTTAAGCATGGGATAGGTTCAAGCTGATTCATTATCTGAAGTCATAGCGACTGAGTCTCTAACTTGGCAAGGCAGTTACTGGAACACAGCATTTCCAAAGCTGCTAGAAAAACTTATCTGCCAGAAAGATCAAGTATTATGTAATCCCTGTACTGGAGCCTATTACAATCCAAGTCACATGTACGAACAGGTTATGTTATGCCATCCGTTTGCGAGCTTGTAGCATGATACCAACCTAGCCAAAGTATCTGATGAACCCATCACTTCAGTGACTGAGACAAACAGGACCTTGAACACAGCAAATACTACAGTCCTCAGCTACCTTGAGGTGCTATACCTTCACATATTCATTTCTTGGACTTGCTTTCAGAAGCAATTAACCTCATGTGAAATAAATCAGTGAAAGCCATTTTGCACTCCAGAACAGGCTTGAAGGATTTTTAGATAATGGAATCAGAGTATTTCTGACCTCCATTATACCAGAATAAAATGAACTGAAATACAAGAAATCAATGCAAGGCTGTGTGAATGTCATAAAAACTACTGCTCACAAATAATGTCTCCTCTGAAGCATCACCATTATGTTAAGCATACAAGAGAAAGATCTACAGTTGGGCACGTCTGGAAATGAGAACAGAAGATGTTACACCTTTACAGACTTACTTTAATTCTTCCCATGTGTTCCTTAGCAGGGAAGAATATGGGAGAATTTGGCCTTACTTTACTTATAGTCTGTAGAACTTCCAGCTGGGATACTTCAGACTTTTGTACTAGCTACTGTGGCGACCGCAGAGACTGCAGGACTACAGTTATTGCACATTCAAAGCACATTTTTGTTACAAAGCTTTTACCATACTGGTCTTCCTGCAAACACGCAACACATTCCAATGGGTAGGCCTAAGCTAGGCCTGGCTTTTGTTCTCCAAAATAAAGAGCTTTGGTAGAGATTTATGAACTGAGTAGTTAGAACAAAAAGGAGAACAGACTTACACCACAGAACAAGCGTAACATCCTTTCTTGCTACTCTCACGAATTAAAAATGCTCCATCAGGTTTCCCACAGAGCAAGTCTTCTGCTTGGATACGGTTGAGATCCCCAACAAACCAGGTTTTCTCATCATGATGTGGCAGGTTTTCATCTTCTTCATTCACAAAGTATGTGCTGAAAGAGAGGATAAATTTGTTAACCAGTGATCAGTAAAGGAGTTAATAAGCAGAGTCATTTATTTTTGCAGAAATTACATAGAGAAGCACCAGAATCACCCAGACTGGGAGGTCAGGCTCCTGACTTACATATTAAAGGCTTCCACTTACAAGTTAATCGTTCTAACTTTGTTTAATCCTAAATTTTTCAGCACAGTTGCCACCTCACATGATGCCAAGCTCCTCTAGAGACTCTCTCCCTTTTTCTCCAGTCCTTTACGGAGAAACTGGTGGGTTTTGTTACCAACCTCCGCAAGAGAAAACACTTATTAATGGAACACTTCTCAATAAAACCATATGCACAGTGACACTTACTCATCAGTATTTTCATTTTTGATCCCCAGCCAGTCGTTTATTCGCTTCTGTCTCACCCCTTTGTGATTGAGCCATCTGCCAGAAGAAGAGAGCATTAATACATTACTTCAGAGCATGTGTATGGGTTTTCTCACTGGGCAAGCTGAAGCTCAGACATAAGGTCCCACAGAGAAACAGTCTGTGTCCAGCCCAAGGACATTAGAAGCTGGATAACAGGGATGTTGGGAAATCAGGTGTGGGTACAAGCAACATCTGACATGCCTAGCAAAAAAAGTACTAATCTCTGTTGTATTACCAGGCACTGATTTTGTTTGTAACTCACCTTAGATTTTTATTTACAAGAGTTGCACCTAGTTCTGGCTGGCTCTATAAGCAATGAGGTCATGAAGAGGCTAAGCAATACTCAGCTATCCCATGCCAGAATGTAGTACCTTAGCACTCAGAACTTTGGTTATGAAGAGAAAATTAAATTCTCATTTTCCTGATAGAAACAGTCATTAACCACATTCATCAGAGACACTATTCTGAGGTATGGGTCAGGTTTACTTACACAAGATACTGATCTCTGATTTTGCGGAGCTGAATTAGGTCAGGTTTGATACTATTCATTTTCTTATCAGTCTCCCTGTTGTCCAGAGCTTGTTTCTTCAAGTCTTGTTCCAGGCGCATTTTGCTATCATGGATCTCACCCAGGCGTGATTTTAATTTTTCATAGTTCATCATAATCCTGAAAATGAGTAAAATATTTGAGAGAAGAGGTCAAACCAGTCTACAAGGACTGAGCCTACTGGTAGCACTCACAGAGGAGTATCACAAGAACTACCATAACAGCAGCTCCTCCCTTTGACTGCCTCATCTTGACATGAAAATTACTAAGAGTGACAGAAGAGACCTCTTGCCAGAGGGCCTACAATCTTCAGTTTACCTTAGTATATTTCCTTATGGCAGAGATGCAAGAACAAATTATCTGTAGGAGGATAAGGTAGAACAGATTCCTCCTTCACTGTCGGATTCACTTTTTGTTATATCAACTACGTGATTCCACTATAGGTATCAGTACTAGCAAGATTTCAAACGCAGACTTCAATTTCTGTCAAGAGCTACCAGGAAGAAATGCTGCCTGTCTCTTCACTCAAGATAAGCGTGCAGGTTTGGTGTAATTCAGGAAAATTACATGTTTTTCCTGTTAATTGATCTTTAGTCAGAATGAAGCACAACAATTGCATACTAAGATTGTTACAGGTAACTGGTTTTAGTCTCAAAACCTCCTTAAGGTTACCCTGGTGGTTCATATAGCATTGTGTCAAGTTAGGCATTATACCTGGCATTTCTTCAAAGGCTCAGACACAGGTTCTTCTCTCATACCCTCATGGAAGTGCAGTTTCAAACAAGGTCCTTAGTTGCCATCTAACAAATTCAGTATTAAATACTGATCTTTGAAAGTGACTAGAACTGACTATGGACTATGAGATTTACCATGTACATTACACAGATTACAAGTAAAGATTTTTCTGAATTACATTCTGAGCAAATCCAAACACAAGTGGTATAAACAAATTAAACTACTATTTCCTGATCCTTTCCTGGTCCTCATCACAGTATCTTGCTTTACTGAAGTTAAGAGAGAATAATCAGAGATCTCCCACCCCTGCTGTCTACACAGCAATTCCTTGACAGTAGAGAGCTTTACTGAAGGTTAAACCACCTTGAGGGAAGGTCTCAGAGAAAATACTGAGCTTACAAAGTAGTTTATGTGATGTTTTAATTTCAATGTGGACACTAGTTTTTCCAGGTAAGCAAACACAACCTGAGCTTACCGTTCAATTTCTTTGTCATTCCCCTCCCTGCGAAACCTCTCAATGTACTCCTTGCTGTATCTCTCTTGTGAGTGGCACTGTTCCTCAAATATCTTAATAGTTTCATTAAATGCTTCAATTGCTGTCCTCTTCATCTGAATTTCCTGTGTAAGGAAAGCATCCTTCATCATTTGTTCATAATACAGACAACAATGCAGGACTCCATTATGTTCCCTAAACTGACTGAGATGATGATCCTGTTTCCCCCCATTAAGTCAAAATGTGATTAAAGAGTTTTAAATTTAGTCAAATGCCTGAGTAGATTCAGGGAAGTACAGAGCAGACTTACTCCCTGCAGGCCTACCCTCCTCCCCCACACAATGCTCTCTATTAGGCTGCAAACCCCTCAAATATTTTAGTCATATTTTCCATCTTAGTTTGCAGGAAAACTGCCAGCAAACCTCCTCCCCATATATGAACTATCTTATTTTACAAGAAGCAGTCCAAATACTGTATTCACACTTCCTTAATGCATAATTTGGTAACTGATTTGCACACGACTTCACAAAACCCCTGGACAAACCCCTCTATAATTCTCACTGCAGCATACAGCAGCTGGAAATACTCAGCAGCCAAGGAAGAAGTCTGCAGTGCAAAGCTTGTAGGTGTTGGCCTTCTCCACAGCTCTACCTTGTACTAGGACCTCAGCTCCTCTTTCTTCCTTGCCCCACACCATACCTCTAAGACTATCAGCAACAAGCAATATTCACTGTTTCCATCAGCTTTGAAACCACCTTGCTGTATTTCACAATTTACTAAGTTTTTTCCTTGTGTTTTCTGGCCTTGGACTGCCTTTATCAGCCATAACAGGTTAAAAGAGCTTTCTTTACTTCTTAAACAACAAGAAACATACTCTACAAATAGCCAAAGCAGAACCAACCTGTGATGTTCTGGTATATTCTTCGTACAATTTGTCGTACTCTTTGCTCTTTTCCTGATACTGAGCATGGTATTCTTGAAGCTTTTTACCTACTGCATCTATATTATCTTCTTTCACCAACTGATCCTGTACATACAAAGGAGCTATTAAGTCTTCAAGCAAAGCAGCTTTTCCTTAAGAGTATTCATTTGTCCACTTATGCACATTTGCATTTTACAGATATTAGCATCATGTTTCTAATCCAGTTTCAGAGCACACTGTGTCTAAATCCCCTTCCTTCTTGCAACATGTTCCACAGTTTACAGACAGTAGGAACTGGAGCTATGGGGCACTAAGAACTATGCTGAAATACTAGGCTTCCAAAAGCACACCACACCTAATTTTTAGGATTGCTACTTCTTATTGGAGGAAGAAGGAGGTGAATTACTTGGAATCTAAAGTTAAATATCAGAGGTGGTTTGTGTTTTTTTCCAAAAAGTTCTGCAGTTCTTTCCCCTCAATTCAGGAAAATGTCTTGGGATACTGAATAAAAGTTTTTTTTAAAATGTTCTTGAAAAATTTAGATGGCTATGCACAGTGAGCAGCTGCAGGGCTCATGTTCTTCAATGGTAACACTGGCTAGAACAGTACCCAGTGGGTCCACAAGGGCCCGAGGGGAAAATGAAAAGGTTTCACAGAGAGGTTCAACTCTGCTGCATGTCAGGATTTCACTTCTATACTAGGCTGCTCAGATGGAGACTGGAAATTTGATAAAATGAAGCAGCTTAAGGGGATATACAATTTGGAAGACCCAAATGAGGCTAAATGTGAAAACTCACATTTCTTTCCATTTAAAAAAAATAAAATCAGGCTATTCTTAGAAAAAAAACCCCAAATAATATACACATTTGCAATCTTTTTCTTGCCTGCTCTAATAGCTATTGGGCTCTGATGAAGATCTTACCTGCTGGTACCGGGACACTGGGTACATCAACTTCACATCAAGCTTCGGGTTATACTGAGCAAGAGACTCATTGCGGTAGTGGTTAATGAGTTCCACGACTGAATTAAACGTCAGTGGGTCAGAAAAGCCATATTTTCCATCCCGATGATAGATCTTGATCAGCTTGTTGTTGCCACCCTTCCTGTAAAGTACAGCCATTTAAAGGTTTTACTGTGTCCCTCCCAAACCTCTTCAACACTAAGGCTGCTAACAACGACACCAGTGAAACTCCTGGGCAAGTGGCTTTCACACTGTACACCTTGATAGTGATTCTTTACACAGTAGCAGTATTAAGTAGTTTAAGAGTCAATACACACAGAATTATCATCAGATTATTTGAACAGGAGCAAAGCCCAAAGTAAATCTCTTCCTATGTGTTCATTCTGGAGCCAGTTTATGGTATTTAAGTCCTAGCTTTGCCCAAAGTTTTTCAAGGGAAAAGGAGGATGCTGAAGGCTGAGTAAAGGAGCCAAATGAGAACCCAAACTCACAATTTTCCTGCAAGTTGGGGTCACTAATAGTATACAACTGAGTATAGATTTTTACAATTATTAACAAGCCTTTTGAGTTATGGATGCTAATACAGGATACATGAATCTAAACAAAATCCTTTGAGGATTACAAGATGGTTGTAAGTCGAGGACTTTATGTTATCCAGATTTATATGTTCTAGTGGTTTCTACAAATATAGTGCTGATTTCCTCTTTTTTCCCACCAACAGGCTGTTTAGACACTATCCTGTCCTTCCTGCACTCACAATTTTGTTTCCTAAAAACATCTGCATTCAGCAAAATAGCCAAATCATGCCAAACGTTAACACACATGCTGTGAACTTTTAGGCAGAAGTTAAAGCAGAACTTTAACTACACCCTTGGGGTCAAACCTGCCATTAAGGCAACAGAATTTCACAGCAAGATCAAGTATCTGTCATATCACACAAACTCCCAATGGTGTGCTACAGAGGCAGAGGCTTATGTGCCTCACCCTCTTGCCTCTAACAACTAATCTTGGGAGCCTGGCAGAGGCAAGTGGCTGGGCAGGCTGGGCAAGGCACCAGAGCCAGTCACATGAGGTCTGCTGCCTAACTGCAGTAGACAGGGCTGGGGCAGCTCTGGGAAACCTGCCACTTGCAGACGATTTTAATGAAGAAAAGAACATGGCTCCAATTCAATATTTCCTAAACTTTACATCACAAAGCACAAGATACTCTTTTTACAAAGTCTCGGTGTTCAATTCTCCAGAGCTGCACTCTGATGAAATATTCAACACTCTCACATTAATCAAAGCCCTAGTTTACAACTACCTTTGACCTTAGCAGTTCTGAAATTCTGAGGCACACCTGAGCAGCTCTCCTCCCCAGGTCCCTTCTCACCTACACAGATCCTTACAGCAGTGTTTAGTGAGAGACAGGATGTGATGCACAGAACAGAACCAGCTGTCAGACCTGGCTATTTATTTGCTCATTCTGGGATCTGCAGTACCTCTGGGAACATCTCTCAGCTTGAGCCATGTGAGTTTTACACAGCTATGGCCGTCATTGGTACAGCAACAGCTACTAAGGGTTTTACTGCGTGGACAAGTGCTCAGTGCTCACCGTAACGTCAGAGTGTAGTCTCCCTGCATCTTGGTTGATGCATCGCGTACCAGGAAGGTTCCATCTGGCATGTCTCGTAATTTGTCATTTACTTCTTCCCTGGAGAATAGAAAGGAAGGCAAAATTAGAAACATTAAGGACATAATCATCTTTGCCACAGGTAAAACATTGGGAGCCAGTAACACCAGTGTGTGTAGACTTCGATCTTCTTTCATACTCAGGCTCCCCAGACTTTTAGGCCATCTAAAGCAAGTCTCAACTTGTGTAGCTGCACTGAAGAAAAGCAGCTACAGTCAACTGCCACTTAGGAAGAAGTCTCTGTTTAAACAACAGTAGCAGCTGTGACTCAGTTCACAACCTTTCCCTGTAATCTGCTCAGGTTTTAAAGTCCACACTGGAACAGGTGCCCTTTAAGAAGCCTGTCCTGACCTCTTAAGAGATGGTCTCTAGCATCACAGCTCAAAGGTGCCTAGAGTTTAGCACAGTTTTAGTCTCAAGAGGCTCATTATTGGCTTAACTCTGATCTTATTTACAGCCGTTTTAAACCACTACAACCTTGCTAGCTGCAGTGCAACTTTTCCTTATTTACAACTGAGGCAAAAGGATACTCAGTCCAGAGCTTTAAGCTATAGAAATCTTTTAGTGAAAGTGAGTACCTGTAGGCATTAAGAAAATTATTTCAGCTGAAGAGTTAAGCATCTTTGCCACGTTTGAGCATTTCACTCAGATTAGGTATCTCACTTTGAAACAGCTCCCTCACAGGTTTTAGAAGCACTAAGCACTTTTTAATACAATCATTTGGAAAGAAAAGTTTCTCAGGTAGCCTCAACATTCTCCAAGTGTGGTAGGAAGCCTAGCTGAATCTTACAAAGAAAAATCAACAGCAGGGTTTTTGTTCCAATACTAAGGAACAAAAGTATTCTTATAGAATAGCCTTACCTTTGATTTACCTACCTGAAAACTATTCTGCTAGTAAAACTGACTCCTATTTAGTATCACATGTGTATCTGCTACTCCTCTCAGATCATTTTATGGATTGGCCCCAGTTAACCCACACAGCCTTCTCCTTTTGGAATGGATAGGTACCATCTATGGGTTTGGGCGAATGCCTTCAAGTTGCACCCTGGAGCTTATGACAAAATTCTCAGCACAAGTTCTTGACTGCAGAACATTGCTCCTATCCTGATAGCCTGATGCAGTCCCTACCTGCTGGCTGCCAAATTAGGGTCATAATTCCATCTTTATGCACACATGTATCATGTTTTAATCTAATAAAGCCACTCCAATGTGATTTGTTCTGCATTAGCTCCTGCCATCGTGTGCACTGTTAATTGAGGAACAAATCCAGAGTCAATAAACTGATACCAATATCGAGCAGTTTTAAACAAACCGTACCTAGTGGATTTTGTGATCAAGTTTTGGCACTCTGCTTTGATTTAAAACTAACAGAAAAATATCTCTGCCGAGGCAATCAAAAGCAGGAGCTACGCGGGTTTACTTTATAAAAAGATAAGGGTGGTACAATAAAGATATGAAAACTTCATTTCCCTTTTCAGAACATCTGTGAGCTAATGTGGCAAACACTCTCTTCTTGCCTCTATCTGCCAAAGTGTTTCAAAGTGCTATGTGCACAAGTTTGAGCAACTCCTGATCACACACTCAGTGTGCTCTTGCAGCTCCAAATTCTAGACTCTTCAGAAGAGGGAAGAACCCCTTAAGAGGGAAAGATATTAATGAACACTTCAGTTCTTGTATGCAATGAAGTAGATAAAAACTGGCCCTTCATTTTCTGAACCTAACCCAAGCCATCTATTTTTCAAGTGCATAGAAAGGGGTTTTCTTAAGAGGTAAAATTGAATTTATTTGGTTTGTGTGTCTATCATCTGGTCGGTATAGCTGGTGATGCTTAGCATTTGTAAGAGCTACTTTTATACCACCATGTAACAAGTCAACACATGCAATTTTACCCAAATGTTAAAGAAATCAAAAATAAGAATGCAACTCCTTTTATTCTGAAATTCTGTTTTGATATTGAAATTTTCCTGAACTGCATGCACTCCTGCATTGCAAGCTTACACCACCTTATTAGATAGCAGATTCAGAAGCAATTCTCTCCTTTTTAAAGACTTTGTGTATCTGGAGAAATTTAGGAACCCAAAAATAACTCTCACCAAGACTGGTAACACTTGCACAAGAGTAAAAACATAGAAGTCCTGAATCCAGTTGAATATTTTCACTTAGGTGCTTTGCCAAGTATAATCCTGAAGCACTCCCTTCCTGTAAAATGCTCCCTGAAATAGGCATGTTCTTTTTACCTTGCGTTCTAGCAGGCTTATTCTATTTTTAACAACACATATTAATACATTTTAATTAATAAATTATAGCAATATTGCTTACCTTGAGATGTCCCCCCAGTACCACTCTGCTTCCTGCAGAGAGAAACTGGAATTGTCCTTTATTCCATTTGTATTGACTGGAGTCATTGGCTTGGGGGGCTTTGGAGGAAGAGCTGAAAATGAAGAACAGATTAATGAAAGGTAAACAGGGGAAAATAATCACTAAACTGCTAATGAAATATGACAGTAAAAAAACCAAGAGAAAAATGTGCATCTCAACCTTGACTTTCAAGCTCTCTCAAACCAAACGGAACTTGTAATTTTAAAGGAATTCTGAAGTCAGTGGTTCCACTGTGATCCCAGATCTCCTAGTATCAAACTAAACACTTGCTTGAGGGAGGAGAAAAGGAAGGAGCACGAGGAAACATGAGGTTTTGTTAAAAGGAAGACTGGCACAGGCACAACTACAAGGGCAGGTGCCGCCTAAACCTCCGAACAAACGACAAAGGTGTATTGTGTTTGAAAGCCACAGACAGGAGAGCAATGGGCACCACTGTGGAAAAACTCCAGTTGTTCAGGCATCACCAGTCCTTATGCCAACTTGCCAGAGCAAACAGGTTCAGAGGGAAGAACACTGCTAGAGAGAGCAGTGGTGGCTGGGCAGGGCTATATCCGTCAAAGACCCACAGTTCGTGTTTCATACTAGGTTTGTCATCTAGGCTCCTGTTTGCAACACAGGCTATGACTCTCTGAACACTACAGGACATGAGGTGATAAAGGAAGGGGACAGAAGACATTAGGTTACTATTAGAGTGCCTGCACCACTTTACACAGCTTCAGTGTTTATTACCACAGGGAAGGGGATGCTACAAATGCCTGACAAGACAGGCAGAACTGCCCATCTGCAGGCCTAGTGCACACCTACCCAGAATTCTCCTATCCTGAATTCAAGGCAAACAGGCTTTTACTTCTGTTCTCAAACTATGTTACACAATGCAAGGGCATACAATACACTGAAGCTGTTTCTGTTTGGTCAGTTTTTGGTCAAACAACTCTATAATAATATATACCTTGAATATAAGCCCTGTATCGGGGTAATTCAACAGCCAAAGACACACTCATGTACTGGGAGATCGTGGTCTGTCACAGAAGTGCATTGTATTTTCTTACTTATTTTCTTTGAGAAAGGTGTCTTTGTCCCCTGCTTTGCAGGGTCTGAATGCTTCATCAAGAATATCACCACTGAAATTGAGCATTTTTTAGGCATTTCATGAGTGTGTTTTAGAGAGGGACAGGTCACATTTGAATTCAGAGTAAGAAAGCAGCTACACATTGATTTGCTACTAGCACATTTTTAAGCCAGACCCTGAACATCTGTGCTCCCAGCCCTGTGCCCTAGCCATCAGATTACACAAGCATCAGCGAGCAGGCCTGACACATTGACAACAGCCATCTCAGATGCACACAATCCCACTGTACAGGCAGAAATACAAATAAAGGGAGCAGAAAGAAGATTTTGATCTCCAGCTCGGAATGGCTTAGTGCTGAGAGGTGTGCTACTTGGCACCATCCATCTGTGCACCTCCGAGCCACACCTCCCACATTAAAGAAGAGAAAACAGAGTTCCAACTGCAGTTCCAAATACCATTCATGTTGACTATCCGACACAGTAACTTCACTGTTCTCAGACAAACCAGTAGATGCTTTAATCGAGCCAATCTAAACTAAATCTGAACCTTGACCCAGACGTTTGCACCCTGGGGTTGCTGACCAAACACCTGATTCAGATAGCAGCATTCATTCTGTGGGACTGAGCATTAAACTGTAGCATACAGGTTCTTTTTATGGGGTGAGCTGGGAACTTTCAGGTGTGCACACATCTAGTGAGGCAATAACAGGTCTTGTTGTAAAAGGAAGGTGAATACCTTTGGATTCAGTGAAGTAGCTTCCTGGTTAGGAAGCTTCAGTTATTCCTAGCTCTACTACAGTTGTTTGTGTAGCACACATGTATATGTACAAAGCTCCATTGAGAGTAAGACAGTTCTAACCCTACTTTGCTTGAAGCTCACAGCCCCATCCTACTTTTACAGGGTCAGAGGAGCACATATCCAAGCTAAGTCTGTAAAGTCAACTGTAATCACAGTTGTTCCATACCCCCATTGAAAGTTCTTGAATTAGAAAATGTCTTCAGGTCCTCCCTCCTCCCCACATCACATGTGCGACAGAACAGACACAGAAGTTCTGAGTCTCATCAGTGTTTCCACGTGGCAGTAAATCCAAGTTCAGAAAACCTGTAGATGTTCACATCTTTTGCAGTTTCTGAGTTATCAACAAGCACATGAAGATTCATGTGAAAAACAGAACAGTGCAGAGAGTTCTTAGAAAACTCTACCAGCACCAGCAACTGTTTCACTGGGTCTTTCAAGTTAAGGCTTGGACATGTCAAGAAGTCTGAGGTATTTTACAGTGTAAAAGCCTGTTTTACACTGGTAATAGGACCTTTCTGGAAGAGGCTTTCAAGTATTCTCTAGAGTATTTGAATACTTCTCTAGCCCTCCTTGCAAGATTAAGTCTTGCTCCTTTATATACTGTGGAATTAGTCAGCAGCTTTGTTAGGGCTCACTCCAAAGCGCTGGGCACAGTAAAGCAAACTAACAAAGAACAGAAAGGTAAGGACAGACACAGAGCACTAGACATTACACCAAGTGTCCCTAGTACAGGTGGGAGTTTCTCCTTTCCCTTAATAGGCAGGTATCAGCTCTCACTATCAGGGAGTTGTCTGCAGAACTTCATTCTGCATGAGAAAATTGGAAGGAAATTCTTTCAGGGAGAAGAATAAGGCTTGGACCAGTTCCTGTAAAACCTGACTCATGGAAGCCAGTCCTTTTCACAATAGACTTTTGAGAAATGCTTTTTAATAGCTTGCACATTTTAAAAATACAAAAGTATTTGCATGGGTGGATCCTGTTTCCAGAGAGCTGTGTATTTAATTCTTTACTTTCAATACTTTGAGCTCTTTAAGTCTTAATAGATTTTCCCCTGTATTGGATACAGAACCAGGCCCTTGCTATTGCTTTACCCAGCAGACCAACATGCCCATCCAGTTCAGTGTTTCTTGGCTACCCTCTCAGCCCAATATCACTGTAGTCTGTACAAATGGAGAACTGACAAGAAGGTAGTTTAAGCCTCACAGCCCAGACCCTGTGATGACACAAGGGGAATATTTAGTAATAACATGGCAACTCTACTGCAACAGAGCAGCATCAACCACACTGCTGCTCTCATAATGCTGGCCCAACGGGTTGCTAGAAGGGACAGGCTAACATAGCTTTTACTAGTACTTAGACAGTACTAACCACTCTACTAGGAGAAATCTTGTGATGTTTCTAAGAGAAGCTACAGAGAACAAAGTGTCTGCAGATTTTGATTTTAATTCAAAATAATCCAGTTTTAGATATGTTACTTGGTGAACATTAGAGAGCTAAAATCCTAGAGTAAAGTAAAATAAGGCTGGCATGAAGTCAACAAACGCTTTCAAGAGCAGCCGTGTTTCTTTCCATGTCACTGGGTCCAGTTCTGATCTAGCCACAGGCAAAATCTTACTTTATCTCAAAACAAGCTCTGATTAAAGTGAACGATCCTGATGGTTTCTTGCCTCCTTTTTCCTGGGAGAGAAAGAACATTGATCACAAGTGATTAACAGCACAACGGATCTATCTGTTCTAATATAGAACTTGCTGTTAGCACCAGAGACACAAGCATCCTTCCCCTACCACATCTCTAGGACAGCTTTAGAGCACAGATCTTTCCAAATCCCAAAAGGTGACAGCTTAGCTGGACCCTTCCACTCCCGCATGAGCACATTCCCAGGATGTTCAGCCCTCGGTGACCACCTGGCACGCAGCGATGAGAGCAGACTAGCTGTCCCTCACACACTCACGCACCTATCTGGTTTTGATTTCCTTAGCAACTCTAGTTCCCTCTTTCTAGCTTTCCCAGGCAGCGTAGCTGGAGCTAAATCCCAATCCCAGCTCGGTGTCACCTCGAAGGGGGAAATAAAAGCGAGCTGGCGATGGAGCGGAGGCAATGGCAGCCAATGCGTGCGGGGCCGGGATCAGATGTTGCTGACGTCAGGGCCCGAGGCTGCCGTGTGGTCCAGCAGGTATCTTCAGCTCAGCTGCTCTGCAGAGCTGCTGTGCAGCTCCTCGGAGGGATGAGCCTATTGATTAGGCTTTGCCAAGGTAGTTTTGTGATGCTTTCTTGACTGTATAGAATTGTTTTTTGAAAACTCTACTCGAGACTGAACTGATTTGATTCCCTGAAATTCAAACCACCTCCAACACCAAGACAACCAAGACAGCTTGGCAAGTGTCTGAAGTTTAGCACCACTGTATTTCTTTTAAAGTCTCTTGTAAAAAAATCGTAGGCTGTATTAATCCCAAATTTAACTTGAGCAAAGTAGACTGACTTCCATGAAATACAGGCTTTTTCTCAGTCTGGTTCTGAATAAAAACTTTACAAGTTTACATGATCTAAGAGCCACTGAGCCCTGTGTGCGAGGGTTTCGAATGGCACTAATTCAGGAGGGAAAAAAGAAGAATGCCTCAGGTCTCCAAGTGCAGTCAAGCAGCCTGTTTCTTCTCTGGCTGCAGCATTTGCATACAAGATAAACCTGCCAGTTAATTAAACTCTAATTTTCAGTTTTAAGGCAGATGCCACTTAGTCTAAGAATGGCTCCACAACTTATTTCTTCCAGTATTTTCCAAGAGCTGCAGGCCAGATACTTAAAAGCATAGCAGGCTTTAATGCAGCATTAACTCTACCTTACTGGTACAATAATCACAGCTACCAAGTACTCTGATAAAGTCAATTTTAAGTCCCTCAGCACTTCCACGAGCTTGTTTACTAGTTTTCTTTCTGATGCTCTCAATCTACTCTCCCTCTGCACTGTGACAAGCACAAAACAGATCAGAGGACTTCCAAGACAGTTACTCAGCTTCAAAAAGGCGGATGTACAGTAGATACCCTACAAACTGTAATATAAGGCTCTACAAAGTGTCATTACTATGGAAACATGCAAGTAATCTGTGGTTAGGCCAGCTAACATTTTAATGACATAGTCCTTGAGGACAGAAGGGTTTTCCCTTTGGAGATATAGATGAAGACTTGGAAT